CTTAATATTGAAGATTGCTTTTCAATTTGATGAAAAAAAATCTTGTTGCTTTCTCATCAGAATTGAAGTTGAAGGGCTATACTGATAATGTGTTTGATTCAGATTGATATTTTTTATTTCAGTATTTTGAAGGTGCTGAACCTGATCTTGTGTTTCATCTGATACATCCAAATACACCACCTCATATTTATCGTACTGATAGTTCAGCAGCTACGTCTAGGTTAGAATATTTTATTTTTATGATGTGGATTCTTATATTTACTTTAATAAGCCAGTTGGATGCTGTGTGTAATTCCGATAATAAACACCAGCAAGCTACACCATGACTGCTACAACTTGACTGAACATTGATATACTTATTTTGATTTTAATTAATTTCTAGATGGATAAATGTAATGAGAGAAGCTTCAGTTCCTTAAAACAAGTCAACAAGTTTAATACTTCATCACTGATATCAGGGTAAAAACAGTTCAACTACTACTAAAGAGAAACAGAGAGACATCTTGTGTTAATCTTCAACATGCCAGTCTTGACCTTTAGCCTTACAGTCTTGAACTTCATCCTTGACCCCCACCCTTACAATCTTGAACTTGTACCTTACAGCCTTGACCTTAAGCCTTTCAGTCTTGACCTACCTTACAGTCTTAAACTTATACCTTACAACCTTGAACTTCTACCTTAAAGCCTTGAACTTTAGCCTTACAGTCTTGACATTTAGCCTTACAGTCTTGAACTTTAGCCTTACAGTCTTGACCTTAAGCCCTACAATCTTAACCTTTAATTATCCAGCCTTGACCTTCAACCTTCCAGCCGTGACCTTCAACCTTCTAGCTGTGACCTCCACCCTTAAAACATTGAACTTCTACCTTCCAGCCTTGACCTTTAGCCTTACAGTCTTGACCTTAAGCCTTACAATCTTGACCTTTAACCGTCCAGCCTTGACCTTCAACCTTAAGGTCGTGATCTCCACCCTTACAACATTGAACTTCTACCTTCCAGGATGATACGAGAGAGATTTTATATTTGAAGCATAATATTGGAGGGATATCTATATTATATTATATTATAATATACTATATAAAGTGAATTATTAACACAGTGAAATAATAAATGTTATTATAACATGATTGATAATACCTAATTTCGTGTAAACCTTGGAAAAGTATTCGTTGTTTCTGTTTTTGATAAAATACTCAATTCTATTCATATATTATAAGTATATTGGGTGATAATTTCTCTTAAATTCATTGTTTTATATATACAGTGCCTTCTCATGTCTAACTCTCCTCTCTTTAATATTTTGTATATTTTACTGTGATGAAACTGTTTGATTTGTCATAATTCAATCTAATCACCCTGAT